TTTGGGTTCGTCTGAACCACTCATATTTCCATCCATCAGAGCTCTGCACAGAGCAGGTCAGTGTCACACTGCCCCCTACTGGTGTGATTGTTTTTCCTGCTGTCAGTGTGGCCCTGGGTTCAGTTGCTGTTATGAAAAAGAAGAGAACAAAATGTACACTTCATCCATTATAAAGGTAGTTTAGGACACTTCAAATGTTTGCCCTTTTTCTGTCTCAACATGGTGACAGAGCCACAGTAATTCAGGTTGTAGATCTCTAAATAAACACAGTATAAATGTTTGTCCAATTTCAGGCCTGAAGAAGTCACACTTGATGTAAACTAATGCAGTTCACTGTTGAAGGAAACACAATGATGGGTTCAGAGGGATCTGCCTAGTTTCAGGTTTAGATAACAGAAACATCATCACCTTAATTTTTTTTAAGCTTTTGACGTTTCTTCTTCTCCTTATTTAAAATTTATTTCATCCACAGTTATTTTATTTATACAATAAAATACACACATATAGTAATAATAAATGACAGAGTGGGAGTATTGCAGGGCTGACATTAATGTATTGAGAATTTACATGAGTATTTCAAGAGGAATCATCACATTATTAATCATTGAGGACTTACTTGATACAGTTACTGAGACAGTATTACTGATCTTTGTATAAGATGATCCCCTCCTGCGACCCCAGCACTGATATTCTCCACTGTGACTTGAATATTTAATTTCTAATGAGTACTCTTTGATTGTGTTGTAGCGGATTAATTGTTGACCATCCTTGTTGGTTTTGTATTCCCAGTCAGTGTCTTTTCCTTCATTCATGTCACATTTGAAGGTAACAAACTCTCCGATGAAAAAACTGGACCAGTTTGGTTCAATAGTTAGCACAGCATCTAGAATCCAACACAACCACAAAGTTAACAATCTGAAACACTTTTATGCACAACACAATCTGTGACAGTATGTTCATACACTGTTCATATATTGAATAATAATTACATATAAAACATAGATGAACTGTAATTAAGATTTATTCAGTATTTTGAGATGAAACATTACTAAATAAATGAAAAGAAAGAAGTAAAGTCAAAACTTTTCAGTCACCTTGAGCGTGTCCAGTGCCGAGGAGAGTACAGAGCACTACAATAAAGACAGAAACTTTAGGATTTATCAAACTAAAGACATGTTCATGTTTACAGTTACAGTTATAGTTCTTCCATGTCTGGCTTTACCTTTCCCCACTTCTGATTATAGTTTAATTTTACCTTTAACTTTTGCTTTTTGCATTTCTCATCAGCCTGAATAAACAACTTACTTTTTGTTAAAGTTCAGTTCTGTCCCTCATGTTTTCTGCTGCTAACACACCGGCACTGATTCAGAAACAAACCTTTCTTAGATAAACTAAACCAGCTCCACTCTGATCTGAGTCAGTGCACTAAAATCTGATCAAGTCAAAAAAAAAAAAAAAAAAACATGTTGGTAACAAACATAAGAGTCCTCTGATCACATGACCTGAAATGGTACAAATGACTGATGCTCTGTTCTTCTTGCTAAAACATGTTTATGGATCAGTATTAAATGAACAATACAAGTGAAAGTGGCTCCCATCCTCACATCCAGCAGTGACATGTCTGAAAACTTCTACAACTTTCTGTAAGGAGAGAGAGTGAAGCAGCAACACAGCAGATAACAAAGAGCTGTGAAGGAAACAAAGAGTTTTTAAAACTTCTTCTCTCTGCTTCCTTTTACACAGAAATAACAACTTAACAAGGTCTGACCATGTTTTAAAGCAGGCTTAGGCTACAAAAA